GGAACATGCTGGCCACCATGCTGATCTCCACGGGCGACGACGGCTGCGTGCGTCTGTGGCGGATGAACTACAACAGGCAGTGGCGCTGTGCCGCCGTGCTGAAGGCGGAGGGCAGTGGACCCACATATGAGCCTGCCCCGCCCACCCCGACGCTGGCCACCACCGCCTCGGCCACGGCCAAGTTTTACAAGAAGGGCACCATCGGCAACCAGGTGCCGTGGCACTGATCTTGTACTTAATCTTTAGAGTCCCGAATAAATTCCTAAGCTGAAACTCATTTGGTTTCTTTCAATATGGGTAGGCACTCTCGAGATTTTTTTGCCCGATTCTAGCCATTTAATAAGAATTACTTACAATTTAATTCATAATCTTAGTTTAATCATGTTTGTTTTTAAATAGTTTGCTTCGAAAATAATAGTGAAATAAAATTGTTCAGATTTTAAAATTGATAAAGAAGGATTTTGTAAACGTTGTGCACCTTCGATTGAAGCTCTTTTTAGATAATTTTGTTTTTGTGTGTCGACAAGATTCTACTTATTAAGTAATTCACTTTATTTTTTTTGAAAACTCGATATTTAAACTACCGTAGTAGGCATGAAATACCTGTCAATCAATTGAATCTATTTAAAAGGTATTTCTACCGATATTTCTGTTGAATTTGGTGGAGGATAAAACTTGTTATTAGAACAGTGTTTGAACACCTCGGTGTTTTTCTAAATTACTTAATAAAGAACATGTGTTGGCGGTAATGTTTGCTTTGATGCCACTTACGCCTCGGAATTAGAGCCGGCATTCTGATAAATCCGATGAGAAGCCTTTTAGTCCACATTGTTCTATAGATCGCGCTCCCTTGGGGCATTTTCACATTACATCACAGAAATATGAGAATCTCTCAGTGCTCCAAATTTAGCAGAGACTAACAGAAAAACGAGGGCTATTGCTTAAACTTAAACGTTTGCCGGCAAACTGAATCAATTATTGATTTGGGACAACTTCCCCGCTCGGCGGCAAATCAAAACAAAATTTAAGTTCACATGACAAACAAGAGCGAGCACTAAAATAATAATAGTAAGAAATGCTCTATCTAGCGACAAATGTGTGTGTGTGTAAATGAGAACGACAGATCTGATGTGCTAGCTATTTTTAAAGTAGGTGAGATAGTGAGTTGGAAACCCAGGGAAAATAAGAAAAACGCATTTTCAAGTTCAGTGGTTGCATTCAAATCAAATGCTTTTATTAACTCTTATTTATGGGTTATGTATGTATGTTCGATTAACCCCTCACACGGGCGAATCAATGGAACATAAAATCCTTTTTAAGTGCTTTTCTATTCCATCCACACACATGTGCATAAATTAAATATTACACACAACAAGTGCCCACAGCAAGGTTTTTATTATGTTTAACACGAAAAACCATTCAGAAATGTCGCGAAATATTCCACTTAATTGACTCGAACCGCAATAAAAATAGGAATCATTTCACTTTCGATGACACCACAAACAATTATAATGATATGCAACCACCCCACGACGGGTATTTGGGTATTCGGGCATTTGGGTATTCGGGTACTCCTGATCCTGTTGCTCTGCTGGTAATCCAAGGAATAAAATCCCGCCCGACCAGCTCGATGGTTTTTGTAGTCACTGTCACTGTCGGTGGATAGAATATAGAACCACCCCGCATCGATATCAGAAATGCGAAGTACCCCCTCCTGTCCCAGATCCGAATGATTGTCTCTAATTGGAAGTTTTGACGTGTGTATTATGTTAAAGGCGATGGTGTTGACGCCGATCTCGGTCGTCGAACCACCCTTATAGCGTACATACCATACATACAAACGTATGCGTATAGGAATAGGAATAGTAAGCCCTGGTGGGTGGTGGTTTGCCCATCGCGTGGGAAGTCAAAGCTCAGGGGTCTCTCACATAGCTTGGCAAACATTTATATGTGTTTAACCGGCAAAAATAAATTAATGCGCAAAAGATTGTTTCTTGTGTTTTATTTCGGGGGTGATTCAGTTTATTCCCACATTCGAAAGACAGCAATTTCGGTTGCCCGGTTTCAATGTAATTTTGGTTTCAAGTGTTTTTTTTTTTTTTTTTGGTGTGGGCTAGTGGATTTAATTGAAAATAGGGAAATTATATTAAATTAAATTAAATTGTTCGTTTCGCAGTCCTATGGGATCTAAGGCATATTGCTATACAATTTTCATTAACTGTGGGAATTTTATTGCTAGGACATAGATTTTCAATCCTTAAAATATAGAACATGAGAACAAAAAGTTTGTATATAGAAAGGGTTTTTAGTGCTAACTTCAATTTGTGATTATTAAGAACTATAAGTAATCAATAATCAATAAATATTAGTAAACGATTCTTACAAGAAAGTAAAAATCATATCAAGTATTAAAAAACAAAGGCCAAATATTTCAAATTGTATTTTAACAAGCAATTTTTGATTTCCTTTATTGAAATTTCATATTATCATATCCAACATTAAAAAACCTGAGCCAAATATATAAAATCGTATTTTAACAAGCAATTTTTGATTTCCTTTATTGAAATTTCTTTGCCATCTTAACAATTTGAACTTGATTACAATTTGTCTTTAAATTAATATTGAGCAAGAATAAATACCAAACACGTTTAAAAGCCTTGCAAATGATCTGGCTCTGGATCAAACCCAAACTCAACAACATGTTGAGTCCCTAGATACATATTTGGCCTACAAAAGCACCCCAAACTAAACTAATATGACAGCGGATATTATAATATTTTAACCCTGCTACCTTAACGAAGCAGTTTCCCTTTCGAGGCTTATTTTCTGGTGTGCTTAAAAGATCCTTTCCTGTTTTTCTCGAAAATTTCCCGTTTATCGTGCGGTTGTCGGGTTCAGTGTTCGGTGTTCGGGGTTGCGACCCCCAGCACCTTGCTAAAACCGCTTTCTAATTACGGGCGGCGAATGTGCAGCCGGCTTAACTAACCGCCGCGGATTGGGCGCTCACGTGCTAAGTAGTTAGTTGCTCAGACATTCATTCATATGCGTATGCAAATTTTATGAACCGTTGACCCCTCGTTACAAACAGGCTGACCAGCGGTCAGCGGTCCGCGATCTAACGAGCACAGTGGCAGCTTATTGGGTGCGGATTATATACAGTTCAATGGGTTTATTTTTTTTTTTTTAAATACTCAAACTATTGACAATTTTTGGACATACAGTACAAAAAAAATATGAATTGAATTTCAAAAAATGGTCCTTGAATGTTTTTGGAAGTGGGGCCATCACTTATCGTCCGGTCGAAGGTATCCGAAGCGCAGACGGGCCTGTTCGTACAAAACAAAGGTGATGATGGTGTTGGGACTGACTCGCATCAGGGCCGGAATGAAGCCGCGATAGAAGGCCAGCGGCCCCTGTCTGGCAATGCTCATAAAGGCCGCCCCAATCCCGGAGAACTCGCCCGGCTTGGCGTTCATAAAGGTGGTCTTTAGCACATCCAGTGGCTGCGTTATCAGCGTGGCAATGCAGCCAGCTATCGTCGAGGTGGCAAAGTGCAGCGGCACGCCATCGGCTGCTCCTGTCGCCGACTTGAGCACCTGCTTCACCTGGTCGTAGGTCGCATTCGTACCGATCGTCAGCACGACGGACCTCGAAACGGCTGGCACTGTGCCTCGGAATAGACTGGACAAGCCCTCCTCTTTGTAAATGCGGTAGAGGCCATCAAAGACGTGCTTGTAGCTGAGGAATTAGTTCGGATGCAAAGTGATCGCCATTTTTGTTTAAAAACATGTTGTCTACCTAAATGGAGTGAGTGCAATTTTTTAAAGCCTTCTTTAAATTATTGTTGAAAACTAGGTTGCTAATTTAAGCCAATACTAACTAAACAGACTGAAAACCGGACTGATAATCGGATGATAATCGGACAATTAAAAGGACGATTAAACGGACGCATAAACGGACGCATAAACGGACGCATAAACGGACGCATAAACGGACGCATAAACGGACGCATAAACGGACGCATAAGCTTACCGATATTGCTCACTTTATATAAAAACAAACCTTATAAAATACTCACTTACGTCTGCTCTCCGGCGGCAACTTGCTATCGTTCTGCAGTCGCACGGTGACCACATCCCCGGGAACGCCCACAATCCCGCCGATGATTCCGGCATAGACGGCTAGGACCATCTTGGCACCCAAGTTTCCGGCGTCGACGTAATTCTTACCAGCTTCGTACAGGGCAAAGCGGGTGCTGGTGTAGGTGAGCTGACGGAACCAGGAAGCCGTGATGCCATTGTAAAAGCCCAAAACGCCATTCTGTTTGTAGATGTTTCCGACGATCTCGGCCACCGACTTCTTTTCCTTCACCAGCTGCGTCTGCAGCTGCACCTTGACCAGATCCAGCGGATGGGTGGTGGTTACTGCGATCGCCGCGCAAACGCCGCCGGACCACCAGCGCGGCAGGCGTCTCGAGTCTCCCATGATTTTTTTTGTTTTTTTTTATTAAAATTTTTATTTTAATTTACAGCAAATTAAATTTTAACGAATTTAAAATTTTTAACAAAATGATAAGCTGGGAACTGACAAGTAACACAAATATATACTCGAAATGACCTTTGATTTTCACCTTTAAAAAAACTTCTCAAGTAGCAAGGTTTTTAAAATTTACTATTTGATTGAATTGCAATAATTTAGTAGTTGGAATTATTAACTCGAGTCATGTTAGAAAAGCCATCGAGAGACATTTTGGATATTTAATTTTATAATTATAACTCAAAAATCTGTAGCATAGTGAAATCATAAATAATCTCTTCTTTATTCACTTGTGTATGACCGTGAATTCTTCAGCTTAAAGAGTTCTTTTCAAGCTCTAGCTCGAACTAATTTTAAACACAGTTCTATACATTATAGGCACAAGCAGTTATCAACCTGACTTCTAAACATTTTATGATACCTTTTACTCTTGTTAACCCTGTTTAATAAAATTGCTCGATGTATTATTACTTATACAGAAATGCGTTTATTTACAATAGACTCACAAAAGGTTCATAAAACTAATGTTAAAGAATAAATTAAATGCAAATGCTTAGGGTAGGTAATCTCACTGCATGGTTTGCGAAACTTAAGACTATCACACTTGTTTTCCTCTGACTAGAGATCCTGTCCTGATTTCCCATCTCACTGTTCACGGCATATCCGACTAGTAGGCCATCTCGGCGCCCCAGGGTCGATAGGGTTTGGCTCCGTTGGGCGTGGCATATTGCAGGACGCTGGAATTGTTGTAGTCCTGACCCCCGCTCCCTGGATACTGAGGAGCGGCACTGTAGCTGAGACCCTCGGAACCCACGGCCGCTGGACGATTGCTGTTGGTCAGCTCGATATAGGTGGGTATCTGCTGTTGCTCGGGATGCACAACGCTGTGATCGTGGGTATAGTGTTGCTGTTGTGGCGATTGAGGTGTTGTTTGGCTCCTTTGCTGTTGCTGTTGGTGTTGTTGTTGCTGCTGGTGCTGCTGTTGTTGCTGCTGTTGTTGCTGTTGCTGCTGCTGCTGTTGCTGCTGTTGCTGTTGCTGCTGTTGGTTGCTGCTTTCGGAGTGAAGATCATGGGTGGGCAGAGATTCACCTCCACTTGTCCGGGAGACACTGGTCCTTCCGCCAAGTTGCTGTGCCTGCTGCGAGGGTGAAGCACTCAGTGTGGGATAACTGGAGACATAAGCACCCGGATTCGCACCCGCCGCATAGCTCTGATAGGGAGTCGCTGCACAGTTCGGCTGATAGCCAGAGGAACTCGGAGTGGCTGTTGGCCAGCCGGCGGGACTAGCGCAACTCTTGGCCGACAACTCGCGCTGCTGCACAAAGTACTGCAGGTGGGACATGAGGCGCAGGCGCAGCGGATCCTGGATGTCCATGCCCTCGATGGTGACCAGGTAGCGGGCCACCTCGGCGGCGCACTCGCGGAACCCGATGATGTGGTAGTCCATGGCCACGCGCTGCGGGTCATAGCTCAGCGAGTCGAGAGCTGCAAGGAGACGGAGAAAGTCAATAAGCTGTCTAATCCTTACTCGAGGAAACAATTAAAATAGCTGTTCCCACGCAACATGCACGAGGAACAGAGCAACCCCCGTGTCCTCGTACGGGATGACTGGTGAGGTGGCCATCAGGGGGTGGTAGCTTTGCCACTAGCAGCGTGGGAAGCCCCGAGAATCGAGATTCACTTGGGCGTTAGGGTGGTAATAGTGGTGGTGGTGGTGGTGGTAGTGGTGGTGCTGCTTTGTTTACGGCAATCATAACTTTCCCACAACACGACTCTGTTCGGGACAACAGGTCAGGATTGTTTACCCAGATTTGTGATAATTTGCCGCATATTGTATTTAATCTTGTGACTCAATTGCTTCCCACAGCGAGTATTTCGCTTAGGGATTTTAGTTGCACTTTGGACTTTCCCATGGTACTGTTTATTCTAATAACTCATTATGATAAAACGATTAAATTGGCAAAAATGATTTAAAATGGTCTAAGTAAGTATTCTTTATACTTTTCATATTCTGGTATTTTTAATCTGTCCTAATGTAGTACTGTAATGTATATTTAATCCCATATTTAAACCCAACTAGGAAATTGAAACTTACTTTTCGATTGCAAGTTCTTCAGATGTTCCACGGTCAGCTGAAGGATCTCTGCCTTCTCCAGCTTGGCGGATCCCTGCTTCTCGTAGGCGGAGGGCACCAGGCGTTTCAGCTCCGTCAACGAGGAGTTGATTCGATCCCTGCGCTTCTTCTCGATCACTCCGCGACGCTTCTTGCGGCTCATCAGTTGGCAGCTGCCCGGTTCACTGGGCGATATTCTAAGAGGTAAATGAAGTAAAGGTTTCGGATTTAGTATGTGGATTTTAAGGAAATTATTTGTCCTAGCACCCTAAACTTTAACCCTATCTTTGGAATTGTTTAAACTTATTTAAGCACACTCCTCTTAACAGTAGATTTGAATTTCTCAAACTCGATTTTATCATTAAACTGTCTGTCTTAAAGATGCAAGCGAATTATACATGTTATTAATATTATGTTTTATAGTTCATTACTTTTTATAATGCTAGAAAGCCTCATAGTTTGGCTAATAAGGAATTTAAGTTAATAATTTACCAGTCAAGGAAACTGATCAGAACATGTCGTTTCATAAAACAAAGTACAGATACGTTTTACAAGAACAAGAATTATTTTTTAAAAATAGTTTGCATCAATTTCTTTTTATTAGTTTAGTTTGCGATAGATTAGTTTGTTTATTCTGATTCACCAAATGTATTATATTTGTATATGATGTAGCACACACACGAAACACTCTTTTTTATCAAGACTTAAAGCACATTTTAAGATGTTGATCTTTCACAAAACTGTGTAACTAAGAGATAACCCCTTTTTTAGCAAATCACGTATACGCACTGTTCTTTGGAGGACTCCTCGGAGTAGAGATCGTCGCAGTCGCTCTCGGAGAGCGTCCGCTTGAGGCTGCCGTGTCCGTGGCTATGACTCTGGCCGTGTCCGTGACTGTGGTTGCTGTGGGCGCTGTGGTGGCTCTGCGGCGGCGGCACCCAGTGGCTCTGGCTGGGCGTGCCACCCACGGTGGTGGTGCCGCCAACCGGCATGACCACTCCGGGTCCGGCGGCATAGCCCCAATGATGCAGCGACGGCGCGTTCACGTGCATGTTGTGATCCATTGTGTGCTCGTTTGTTTGCTACTGTTTATTTGCTGCTCCTGCGCACTTGACACTGTAGCTGTAGTGCTGATGTTGCTGGGCGAGTGTTGCGTGTTGCTAGTTGAACTGGCAGCAAGTTGCAAGTTGCTAGAGACAAAGTGCTGGACCGGGCTAGCGGAGCTAGTTTGAGCACGTGACTTATCGTGTGCGCGAACGGCGTTCGACTGATTCTGCAGCACACGTCGAGCGGACGACCTGCCCTCCGCTGCCGCCGCTCAACCCCTTTTTACCGCCGGCGGCAGCCGTCCAATAAGATGCAGCAGCAACCACCCCCTTGGCAACGCGTGCTGGCCGGGATTGCCTGCCTGCCTGCCTGCCTGCCAGGATTGGGGTAGGAAATGTGTGCCGAGCCGGGCGGCGATCACTGCCAAGTGAGCAAGTGAGTAAGTGTGAGTAAGAGAGCAAGGGAGTGTATGTGTGTGTGTGCGACAGGGAGCGGCAATCCAAATAAGCAAGCCCTGTTGTCTGTCATCGATTTCGATTGTATCGCCGCCTTGCATCTGATACAGCGACTCCAGCAGCATCTGTAACATGGCCACTAATCGTCGGCGCCGTGGGCGACAAACTGGCGACGTCCGCCGCCCACTTGTTCGCCGACTGGAGCGGCTGCAGCGGGCCATGGAGAACGAGAACGGGAACGAGAACGGGAACGGGAACTCAAACTGGAGCACGCGCCGGTCGTGTGGCATCGCGTGGCGCCGGAAAAGCCCCAACAAGTGCAACGGACGCCGTTGACCTTTATCTTGGCATTGGGCCGTATGCCGGTTGGCCCACACATTTCTAGGTCAGTGTTGGCTCAAGGTTGCGGCATCAGGAATCCGGAACGGGAACAGCGGCAGGAGCACGAGCGGGAGCCGAGATAACAGCGACTGCGGCAGCAGGTGACAGAAGTTGACCTAGAAATTGCCTGAGGTAAAATCGATTTGTTGGCCGATTAGCCTTTTTGGAGCTCAAATTTGGGCATCTTATCAGCTTGTCTTTCTTTTCTAGACGAAAAAATTTTAGTTTTAGAAAAATTGATTATAAATTTTAAGTTTGTTAAAAAAATTAAATTTTAAACATAGTACTAAAAAGTTTAACGTGGACTAGTGAATAAGTCGGAGTATGTATTTTGTTAAAAGGAAAATGGTGAATTTAAACGTTAGATTCTTAAATAAATTCCATAGTTTTTCACATTGTTATTAATCGTTTATCTCAAAAAGTATTTCTCTCTGGTTTTATTTAACGAAGCTGTTCTTGTACGTTTCAAAGGTTCGGACTTTGAGTTCATTTTGAAAAACTTAGATATAATCTGCGCTTTGTTGCTTTATTTTGTTGCATCATAAAGGACTCTCCAAGAAGTAAAGGCATTGCTAAATAGGTTCGGCGACGACAGAACCCAAGGTATGCAGTCCATTAAACATATGATCCAAACTGATTTTAAACTTGATATCCGATTGGGAAAGATTAATATTAAAAGCTTATACCAACTGATGCTGAACAGAATTGTATTATATTCTATAAATACATTGCAGGGTCTCCTTAACTGCACTACAAATTTCATGTCAAAATAAGTAAGTCTAGCTTAGAAAAAAACCATTGTAGCTTTGGTAAAAAATCATAGATGATAACTTTTTATATAGTCTCCTAAAATCAATATATATATATATATATATATATATATATATATATATTGTAAACACAGCTCTCTAAAGACTCTGTTCTGCAAGATATTGATAAAAAATAGTTTCATGTTGGTACCGTTGGTAGAAAAAAAATAAAAGTAACTTAGATTTGGTGTAGAGTCCTTGTTTTTATCGTTGAGATCTCCTATTTATATGATCAAGAGAATTGAGATTTAACAAGTGAGATGAAGATTTTTTTATAAGTAACTATTAAAATGATCTAACTTTTGTAGATCTCCACAAAACATTTTTAAAGGTTATATTAATTTTTTTTTAAATATTTTTACTTCCTGCCTACCTACACGCCAACGTGGAATACATTTAGAGCTTTGAGATAGATATTTTCAGTTTATGTTTATAACTGAAATTGTGTTTTCTTTTTAAGATATTATACCCTTGCAGAGGGTATTATAATTTCAGTCAGAAGTTTGCAACGCAGTGAAGGAGACATCTCCGACCCTATAAAGTATATATATTCTTGATCAGCATCACTAGGCGAGTCGATCTAGCCATGTCCGTCTGTCCGTCTGTCCGTCTGTCCGTCTGTCCGTCTGTCCGTCTGTCCGTCCGTTTATATGCAAACTAGTCTCTCAGTTTTAAAGCTATCTGCATGAAACTTTCCCAAAAGTTGTCTTTCTATTGCAGGTAGTATATAAGTCGGAACGAGCCGGATCGGACGACTATAGCATATAGCTCCCATAGGAACAATCAGAGAAATAAATGAAAAAAAATTATAACTTTTCTGTTTTTTAATTTTTTGTTTAGTTCTTTCACATATAGCAATGGTTATATATTTCAGAATTATGGTTTAAATTTCATCAAAATCGGACGACTATAGCATATAGCCCCCATAGGAACAATCGGAAAAATAATTGAAAAAAAATTATAACTTTGCTGTTTTTTAATTTTTGTTTTGTTCTTCGACATAAAGCAATGGTTAAATATTTCAGAATTATGGTAAAAATTTCATCAAAATCGGACGACTATAGCATATAGCTCCCATAGGAACAATCGGAAAAATAAATGAAAAAAAATTATAACTTTTCCGTTTTTAAATTTTTTGTTTAGTTCTTCGACATTTAGTAATGGTTAAATATTTTCGATTTACGGTTTAAATTTCATCAAAATCGGACGACTATATCATACAGCTCCCATACAAATAATAAAAATATATAAAAGAACAATCAAATAAGTAAGCTGCAAATCGTCATAGCTTCAATGTTTTTAAACATATACGCAAGTAAATCATAATTTTAATGTTTTCAAAAATATTTAATTCTTGCGATAGCTGCAAGGGTATATGAACTTCGGCTTGCCGAAGTTTGCTTTCTTTCTTGTTTATAATCTAAAACAGGTCCACAACCTTAAGAATCATATATTTAATTTCATAGCAATAAAGCTATTCGCCGAAACCGAAAGTTTTACATTAGATTTGTCATGGATCTTAATTATTATTATAACATTATTATCTTACAACCTGATAAATATAATATATAACAAAATAAACTTATTTTTCTTTCCCTTTAATTCCAAGAAACAAATTGCAACATTTTTTCCATTTTCTCGATTAACTTTGATTGTTGCGGCGTAAGCTTTATAATAATGGCATGCCATATCAGTTTCAAAAATGAACACAAAAATCGAAAATTATAAAAAGTGCTTTTAATATGATTCGGCATGCTGTCGCTCAGGTTTCAACTGTGGCAAACAGCAAAGTGGAAATGCCTAATGGCCAATGCCAGTGCCAATGCCAGTGGTAGTGGTAGTGCCAGCGTGGGACAAACTCTGGAACTCGGAAATCGCCGGAACCCACCCCTAATCAAGTGGATGGATAGTGCAGGGCAATAGCCATGGAGCAATACATATAGCCGCATTGCCACACCACCGACGGACTGAAATCGCGACCGTGGCTCGTGGGAAAGCCAAAGGTCTACGGATTCTCACGAGCGGCCAGCACGTGCGGGTCGTGCGCCGGCATGGATCGATGGAGAGGGGGTGGCGTCAAACTGACTCCCTTCCTTGAACAAAACAAAAGGCCATTCTGGAGTGCATTACTCAAGGTATGGAGCCAAAGGAGCGCCGCACACACATACACACTTTATTGTTAATGGTTATTCTCAAAAGCAACTTTCTATAATGAAAATTGCGGTCTACCGACTCAACTACTCAAATACTCGAATACATATTATGTATATATATATGTAGGTAATTCTCACAAGACTGGTTAACATGCTCAATCGCTGGACGCAAAGTGGAGGTCACGGAGCCGTTGAATTCCCACGTATTCCCGCGAGGATTCAGAAGCTCCTAAGGCAAAGATTACAGTTGTTCCCGGCTGCGGCCGCCGAGTCGTGTCGGTGCAGCTCCAGGCTCAGGGGTTCCGTGTCGTCCACCCAGGTCTCCAGGGTGCAGGAGCTGGACTGGTGGCTGGACTTTTGCGACTGCGACAGGGATCTGGTGACGGCCGCCGCCTGACGCCACCTGGCATCGAAGTCCTCCCAACGATCGCAGGTGTCGTCGTCGAGGGAGTTGCCATTGATGTCCCACTTGACGATGGGAAAGTCATCGTGCGGCGGCTCCATAATGACCACGTTGTGGTAGTTGCCCTCGAACTTGGAGCCCAGACTAATGCTGCAGGGATGATAGCGACTAGCCGGGGCAATCCTCTGCTGCTGCAATTGTTTCCTAGGTGTTGCTATAGTCTGCTGCTGCTGCTGTTGCTGCTGTTGTTGCTTCTGCTGCTGCTCCTCCAGCTGTTGCCGTTGCTGCTCCTGCTGCTCCTCCAGCTGCAAGTCCAGACTTGAGTTGGAGGGTGTGTGCCGTAGGTAGCGAACATTCTCCTTGTAGTTCACCCGCTCGAACTCAATGCTGGGCAGGGTGGCCAACACCTCGTAGCTGCCGTAGCTCATCAAGTACTTGGTCCGCAGATCGTGCTTGCCATCCTGCGGCGGCTCCTCCACTTCCCTGGCCAAATCCAAGGACGGATTTGTGCATTCACTCAGCTGCAACTCCTCGTAGATGGCCTCTGTGGCCGGGGGACAATTACTGTTCACATCCAGTTCGAGATGCCGCTGCAGGTTCACCTCCACCTCCACCTCATCGTCCCCATCCCCATCCTCCTCGTCCAGGCGCTGAACGAATAGTTGCTTTGAAGTCGATATCTTGCGCAGGAACTGCAAACAACACAAATCGATAATGGGGATAAACTTAGCGCGAACGGTCAACGCGGCGTATGATTAACGTGCCAAAAGCACGGGTTTGTGAACTTTACTGTTTGTGTTTATTCGCGGTGGGCGGCATCGATTTTTTATTGATTACCCAGTGGCCACAGCCAACCACCCACACCCACCCAGCCAGACTAACCTTCAGACAGGACTTCTTGGTGCGCCTCAGCAAATGCGACATGCTGACTTGGTGTCTTTGTGTCGCCGCCGATTATTCCTCCCAAATTGAACGGTGCAATTACAGTGGCTATTGTTGCCCTTCCATCGGAGTTGTGGCACTGAGCCGGGGCATGTGCCTCATCGCTGCTGCTGCTGCTGCTACTGCCGCCCGTTGGCCTATCCAAACAAAACTGAACAAGGAAGCGCCGTCTCGAACACTCGCAGGTGGCGCAAGGACTTCCCATGCCGCACGAGTTGCCACATGACTCATGGCAGCGGCACGAGTGCACCGAAAAAAAACCAAATGGATCTTGATGCTGGGCACCAAAACTAACGCAATTTGTCACTTTTATTTTTAAGTGTCTGCTGTCTTTTTTTCACCGCTTTGTTGCCAACTAAGTGGGCAAAAGTAAAAAGACGATTAAGAGTAATTTGAGACATTTTTAAAAACAAATCTCAGTAGTTCTATTTTTTGTCCGTCCTTGGTGCGGATATTTTCAAAATTAAATTCTTAAATACTTAACAATACTATTTTGTAATCTTTTCTCAAACTTGGGCTTACTTCAATAAAAAGTAGTCTAAATATGTAGATACAAGTTCACCATGACTATTAATATATATTTAAATGAAGTAAATTTGTATTTTTAAATCAGCTAATTAGAGTGGTTATGTTTATAAAAATAAATCCAATATTTAAATTAACTTCCAATTGTGGATCGGTGTTTCAATAAAATAGAATTGCATCAAGAATATGTAAAATTATTTAGAACTCAGAGATTTAAATTAATTATTTTGAAATATTTACAATGTTTAAATTATTTTACAAAAGCTTCAATCGTTCGATATTGACATTTTAAAACTAAAAAAATAATATTTTTGAATCACACTGTTTTTTTCGTTAGCACAAATAAATATAATATGTAACAAAGTTGCGTTACACATTATGAGAAACAATTAATGCATATTTGTTGGCAAAGTGGTATGCCATTTCTTACTGTGTACTGGGGAGCAGTGCAAGTGCCAGTGAGAGCCTCTGTTGGCACAGGCGCAGTTTAATCCAGGCGCACAGATTGGGAATCTCAAGTGGGTAGCCCCTAATGCGGTAATGGCCCGGCATTCGAGTCCACTCCCCACTTCCCCCTCCCCCCTTCCCTTATCCCTTACCCCCCGCAGATCCCATGAAACGAAGGCCCTCGAATCACCGGTCAAGTGCCTGGGGCGCTAAGCGCTACTGTGGGGCAAAGGTGAGTCCTGCTCCCTGATTATTATTGTTCGTGTGGCTGTGGAGGGCGCCAACTTGGCGCTGACATCCATGGCAAGTTTATTATGAAACTATTTCTGGAGAGGGTTGCCGCTAAACTTGCGGGAGGTGGTCATACAACTATGGCACAATATATAGTATTTACCACGCAATTTATGTTATAAATAGTGTGTCAATGCCATGAATATTCATGTGGAAGCAATTTGTTCTATAATTCCTTTCAATAGAAATTAAACGCATGTTGATAATAACACTTTTTTAGTATTTAGAACTTGGCAAGTAACGTGTAATTTTTGGCTTTATAGTTAAATCATTAGTTCAATAATTTTTACAAGCAAATTGGCAAATTATTTTAACAATTATTTAACTAAAGAAATATTTAAGAAAAAACATTACAGTATTAATGTTATACAACCACCAAATAATTGATTTTTTTGTTACTTGCCAATTTTTTTGTTTAATTATATTTATTTACTTTCAGTTGAAAAGGGGTAATATGTGTATTGGAATGTTATCGTTTAATATAATAAAACACTCTTAGTTTAGTATTTAAATCTCAAAATTAAACTAACTCAAGTTGCTTTATATTTCATTCTAAAAGAGAGCGAGTGAGATTTTGACTTATCAGCAGTCTGGTTTGAATTTATATTCAAAACAAAGTCGTCCAGACTTAAAATGATAACGAAACGTATTAAAAAGACAGACACAACGTGGAAAAAACTGATTGATAATATAAATTTCCTCTTTACGTTTGCTGAAATGTGACTCTGATTTGATGTAACGATTTCTAACGGGCTTAATATTTAGAAAACCTTAGTTTTTCAAAAATAATTAGATAGATTTGAGTTTATTTTCCCCCTAAGCCATAATATATCTTGATTTCAAATCAAATGCTTTGGGAACTCCTGGGTCTGACGACTGAACTAATGACATTTACATGTAAATTTCCAGCAAATTAACCAAATGATTTAAATGCATTTAGTTGTACGGAAATAGGGCGAAACCAGTTTTACAATTCAGCATGCTTAAAAGTGTCGGGGTTTTCGTATTCAGTATTTTTTGTGGGCACTTTTCAGCCTGTCGTCGATTTGTCACATCACTCAAAGTGAGGAGTGCTCGCTGCGGCTTCGGGTTAGCTTTGAAATCGAATTCGAAACTGAAAAACTGAAGGCGAGTGAATGATGACACTCGCAGCAAATTGCAATCAAATCACAATGATTCGGATATATTCGATTCCTTGCATTTTCGAGCATGACAAGATCCTTTTTTCGGCCATCGCTCAATACGCTTGTCTGTGGTTTTTGACAGTTATCATTCTGCGGATTCCAACTCTTATTTTTTTTTGTTGGTTATAACATCTTCGCCGAAGGCCAAAGGGTGTGCGATAAAAATATTGATGAGCCTAACCAATTAAAGGTTGATTGATAGCAGGACACTACATCGCAGGCTGTCGATGAAGAGCGGCAATTGCCAATATCGATTACAAAAGTTTGATTTTAATTTTTAATTGCCCGTTTGGACGCAGTCGAGGGGTGGCAGCTAAATTGGCCAGGACAACAGACCACAGCAACCCTCCCTGCCGACACGCACACTTCTATTATTATTACTTTTATTATTGTCATTGCCGTGCAATTTTCTAGGGGTGTGTGTAGGGGTTTGATGCGATTACGATTTCAAAGGCGGTGTGAAGTGCGGCATGTCCGCGGGGCAAGTGTCGATTATGCACGACTTGATGGCCACTCCGGCAATTGCTCCGGTTCAAAATTTACATTTTATTAGTTTTACATGCTCGTGCAGCCGCACAAGGGCATTAAAATTATTTACGATGCCAAATATTGTTGGTTGTAAATTACGCATACTGGCAAATATTCATTCGATTCAAGGGGCGACGGGGTAACGGCTCAGTCTCAATCGCTTGACCTTTTGCCGCTAATTAGAGCCTCATTGTTGTTGCCAGCTGAGGAACACTTTCGGTGCGTGCTCTCCTAAATGTTTCGCAAGTCTGTTGCGATTCGGACACAAGTCGTTGACTGATAACAATTGTATACAATATATATATATTGAGGGATTAGCTGGAGGGACTGGAGTGCCATAGTCAGTTGCGAGTAGTGCGAGATGCCGAGCGGTACCCCAGAAATTCAATACTACGACGGGGACGAGCTCAACATCCGCCGGGTGATCGAGCAGTCCGATCTGCAGGCTCTGGACCAGGCCCTCAACATCTGCGACCTGTCCAGTGTGGAGCGGAAGCACCGCCTTTGGCAGCAGCTCCTGCCCCGGATAAAGCCCTACTACGCCGTCAAGTGCAATGACGATCCCGTGGTGGTCCAGCTGCTGGCCGAGTTAGGAGCTGGATTCGACTGCGCCTCTAAAAATGAACTCAAACTGGTGGGTCGTCTCCTATAGAAAGATGTCACATTACACAGAGTCTTTTGCCATCTCAAAAAAAAAATTTTTACAAGTTTCAAGGTTTAGTAGAAAGAGTACATAGAAAGGTTGAATGAATTCAGTGATTGAGCATATGTGATTAAAGTGAGAGACGAGATAATGTATTAGCACTACAACTTTTTGTTACTTAAGAGCAGAAATTGTAATCACTTATAGTAATAAAATAAGCTATTGATTGTACAGAGACCGTAGACTTACCTAGCAACAGACAGTCTTGTGTCATTAAATCGAAAACGGAACCTTACTTTGTCAAGCCGAAGTTTAATACCATTATAGTTACCCTCTGTTCTTGTCATCTACTAAAATTGTATAACCAGCCAAGAATGAAAATGAACAACAGATAATATTAAAGTATTAGTAATAATTCAATACTAAATAATATTACTCATATATTTCTTAAGGCCTTATTTTTAAACCGCATAAGATTTATTTTGATACTTTTGTGGTATTAGTTAAATACCCATCTTATTGAAATATTTGTCATACCCAATAGTTTAAAATTCACTATGACCATTTATTTTAAGTGCTGTCAAGTAACCTCATTCTTAAAACATTATACTTATTCCTTATTCTGTGGATGCGTAAATTAACAATAATAATATAATTTGTAACTTTAAAGGTCTTAGGCTTTGATGTGTCACCAGAGCGCATTATCTTTGCCAATCCCTGTCGACCCGTCAGCCATTTGGAGTACGCCAGGGACAACCAAGTGGCCAATGGCACCGTCGACAATGAGTTTGAGGTGTACAAGCTGCACAAGCACTATGCCAACTCCAAGTAAGTTTTGGCCAATCTAAGCTTTTAGTAGTACACATGCTGATCTACTTCTCAATGCCAGCCTAATTGTGAGATTCAAAAGCGAGGCCAAGGAGGCGCAGTGTCCGCTGGGCGACAAGTTTGGCTGCGATGCGGATGTGGATGCCGCTGCCCTAATGCTGCTGGCCAAATCCTTGGATCTGAAGGTGACCGGCACCAGTTTCCATGTGGGTTCCGGTTGCAGCGAGCTGGAGGCCTACGACCGGGCCATCAAGAAGGCAAAAAATCTCTTCAAATACGGCGGCCTGCTGGGCTATGACATGGACTTTTTGGACATTGGAGGCGGTTTTCCCGGCAGCGATGACGAAAAGTTTGCAAGGGTAAGTGGAGAAAAACTCAGTTGTCAACGCAATGGTACAAAGAAAACTCTTTGACAGATAGCCGAAAGTGTCAAAACCTCGGTGAAGCGACACTTCCCCGATGAACGTGTCCAAATAATTGCCGAACCAGGACGTTTCTTTGTGGCGGCTGCTTACACATTGGTCTGCAAGATTCATGCCAAGCGGGAGGTTCGCAATGAGTCTGGAAAACTGGACACCGTGATGTACTACCTTAATGACGGCGTCTATGGATCTTTCAACTGCATTCTGTACGACCATCAAGTGGTGACTGCTGAGCACTATCTAGTAAGTATTATTATAAACATTATTTTTCAGAAGGTGTTTTAAACTTACATTCGGTACATTTAATGAGATAGTTGTTCAATTATGTTTTTAAATGGAAAGCAGTATTGTAGCACTGCTAGTTAAATACCTACATCCAAAAAAGAATTTTCATAGAAAATAAAATATTGTTACAAGAATTTTAAACTATTCATATTTCTTAATAAGATGAGTATTAAACTGATACCTTAAAAGTACTGAAACAACACTTAGGCGGCTTAAAATAAGGCTTTACTCTAAAGTTTTCGTCTCGACGGTTTAGAAAAAAACTTAGAAGAATAGAGGTTATATTTATTTGTATTGAATTAAAACCTATACTTTAATACTGTCTGTTTTTAATTATCATATATCAAAACTAAATTTTTGTTTTTTTTTTTTGGGTGTTCAATAGATTTTATTTCTTTGGAAAATCAGTGTTTAGCCGGTTATTTAAAAATACACCACTAAGCATTAACACTACTAAAGTAAACACTAAAATAAATTTTTAACTCCAAAACACTTGCGTTTAGGGCATTATTTAACAAAAAATAAATAAACTTAAAACTATCTTTCAGGATGAAGCGGATGCCTTGCCCCATTTGAAGTCATTAATTTGGGGACCCAGTTGTGACGCTTTTGATAAGGTGGGCAAACATTTGGTCTTTGTTCCAGCTATATTAAGACACGTTTTTCTTACCCCTTAGATATCAGAGAATTTGTTCTTGCCCAACATGAACCGAGGCGATCTTTTGGGATTTCGCAACATGGGAGCCTACACAATGCCCATTGCCAGTCCATTCAATGGATTTGAGGTCCCCAAGACTCTGTACTTCCGGGCAATATGACTAAACCATTTGTTAAAAGCTATCAAATCAACACTGGCTTGCACTTGTTATCAACAAAAATTATTTTCTTGTTTGATTTTAAGTTTTTTCATATTAAAATGTGTGCTAGAGATTTTTTTGCTACAAAACCAGGAAGTAAAAATAAATATTATTTACAAATCAAAATTGACAACACTTGAAATATTTTTTAAAATTTATTTTAGGGGGTGGTGCAAAACTTTAAATCAACTTTCCCGAAAACGTCGCCTTTAAAACCCTTTTACGTCTGAATCTTTACGAAGTTGTTAGATCCCAGGATACGAAGTCCGTTTGTATAGGCTGTTGAAGAAATATAAATATTATAACCAAACATTACCTCGAGTTAGTAGGCAAATAAACTATACCATTAAAAATATATGTTTTGATTTAAGCGTAAAATTCAACTCGCAATTTGTGTGTACTTTAAAGCTAATTAATTTATCTAACATTTACAATTATTTCACTCAACAAACCTAGCGGAGTAGATGAGTATCCGACCTATTTAAAGATACTATACATTTAGGATCTTGCACAAAACACAACGTAAAAGTATGCAATATGTTGTGATGAATACAGTTTGACTATAATAGAGGATGACCTTTTATTTTGTTTGTGTGCCAAACCATGACTTTGTAAATTTCGAACTGATAAGAATTATGAGTTGAAGATCACTCTATCTCAAAGCGGTCAGTTGCAATCTGTGCGAGATGGCGAGCAGTGTCCCCGAAATCCACTTCTACGAGAACGAGCTCAACATCCGTCGGGTGATTGAGCAGTTTGATTTGCAGAACTTGGACCCGGCCCTCAACATCTGCGATCTTTCCAGCTTGGAGCGAAAACTTCGCCTCTGGCAGAAACTGCTGCCCAGGATTAAGCCCCACTACGCCGTCAAGTGCAATGACGACCCGGTTGTGGTCAAGTTTCTGGCGGATCTTGGTACTGGATTTGACTGCGCCTCCAAAAACGAACTCAAATTGGTGGGTTTTCTTCGAGAGTTGTATTTTAACGTTAGCAAATAGAGAAAGCTGCCATAAGTTTTTGTAAATTAAAATATACATTAAAATCTTTTCTTAGAGATCATAAAAAACTATCATGGAATACATAATCATTTGAGTTTCATCAAATCATCATCAAAAAGCTTTAGAAAGCAAATTAATTTTTTAAAACATAATCCTAGCAATTTTCTTATATTGTCATTTTTTTATAATAATTTTGAAATATTAATTTATTTATTTGTCCTGTAACTTCTTTGAGATATAAAGATCATTGAGAATTATTATAAACTCTTTTACTTTTAAAGGTCCTTGGCTTAGGCGTTTCACCTGAGCGTATTATCTTCGCACATCCTTGTCGTCCAGTCAGCCACTTGAAGTACGCCAAGGAGCAGATGGTGGTCAATGGCACGGTGGACAATGAGTACGAGGTTTACAAGCTCCATAAGCACTATCCCAACTCCAAGTAAGTCTCAAGTAAGTCAATCTAAGCTTTGGTAGTAAGATGATGTGTTTCTCGGTTTTAGTCTGATTTTAAGATTCAAAAGCGCGGCCAAGGAGGCACTGTGCCCCTTGACTGACAAGTATGGATGCGATGCGGAGACGGATGCCGCTGCCCTACTGCTCCTGGCCAAGGCCTTGGATCTGAAGGTTACTGGCACTAGTTTCCATGTGGGTTCCGGATGCAGCGAGGTGGAGGCCTACGACCGGGCCATCGAAAGGGCCGAGAACATCTTCAAGTGCGGCGAGCTTATTGGTCATGACATGGATTTAATGGACATTGGCGGTGGCTTTCCCGGCACCGATGATGCACTGTTCGAGAATGTGAGTTGCAAAACTCCGACTTTTAATAGATTCCTTAAATATTCATATATTTGTATATTTTTTATAGATTGCTGACGCTGTAAACACCTCGGTGCAGCTCCGTTTCCCCGATGAACGTGTCCAAATAATTGCCGAACCAGGACGTTTCTTTGTGGAGACTGCTTACACATTGATCTGTAAGATCCATGCCAAGCGGGAGGTCCGAAATAGAGCTGGGAAATCTGATACATTAATGTATTATATAAATGCTGGCATTTTCGGAGCCTTTGCCGACTATTTTTACTACCCTGAGGAGGTGAACCCAGAAATTTACCTGGTAAGATATGGATTTACTTTCTATTGCAGTTTAAAGATATATTTTTCCATCAGTTCTCTTTATGAACTGCATAATATTATTTTGTTGAATTTCTTAATTCTTTATTAACAAAACAGATGCATTAAGCATGTATTTTTAAAATCTTAAATAGTTATTTATTTTCCGATGGGTCCCGTAATATATACTTCCTTCAATACAAAGAAGAATTTTGGTAAAGTATACAAAATCACAAATATTTTTCTTCAGGATGAACTAAACAATAATATACAAAAGAACCATTTACATCTTAAAACAAGAGAGAACGCTATAGTCTAGCCAACAAACTTCAAACTAAGTATTTTCCCTACAAAACAATTAAAGCTTAGGTGGCGCCATCTGTCGAACTGCATAGACAACACTAGAAGCTACCCCTACCCCCCGCATACAGCGCCTGAGCAGCGGCAGAGGGGCGACAGAGGCGCGGCAAAGGGGCGGCAGAGGCTCGGCAGTGGGCTTCAAAACAGAACAACTCGTTTTGAAAATTTTTATGTCTACCGATAGAGTGGGCGTGGCTCCTTTTTGAAAAAAGTGTTGCGCTGCGTAGCAACTACTTTCTAATAGTTTATGAGATTTCGGAGTTCATACAGGCGGACAGACAGACCAACAAGGCTAGATGGACTCGGCTTCTGAACTGATCAAGAATATATATATCTTTTATGGTCGGAAACGCTACCTGTTACATGCTTTTCAACGAATAGAATATACTCTTTTAATCTACGAGTAATGGGTATAATAAACAATAAAAAACAATCGACGTAGATTATTGTACGGATTTAGTAAGAATCAATAAGTGTGCGCAATTGTCAGTAACTGAGGTCGTATGTTAATCTGTTCATGTTCTTATATGATTTTAATTTGAAATTGAGGTTCCTAATACACTATTGTACCTTTCATTAGTCACGCCATTGAAGGGTATTTTATAAACTACATGTTTTCTGGGAAAGAATTTATATTTATTTTGTTTATGTTCTTTAAATTATGGTTTGCAAAGTCTCTTTTTGGATTATGTGTAATTTAAATCTCGTTGTTGTTGTTTTAATATTATTTAATTTGAATAAAACAAATTGTAACTTTTACAGGAAGACGCTGAAACCTTGCCAAAGTTTAAGTCTGTACTTTGGGGGCCCAGCTGCGATTCCCTGGATAAGGTGAATTATTTATTTAAGCTAATCAATATCATGCAATGTTCTACGTATTCCTTAGATATCCGGGGAATTTCTTTTGCCCAATTTGAACTGTGGCGATCTTTTAGGATTTCGCAATATGGGAGCCTACAAAATGCCCATTGCCAGTCCTTTCAATGGATTTGAAGTACCTGAGACCAAGTTCTTTCGGAAAAAGTGAATTAACCACATTTCAGCGAAAAAAAAAGTTTGCTGTTACCAATTAAATTAAATTTTCAAATTTATATATGTGTTTATATATCAATTTTATATATCAAGAGAATAAAAAATGCTACTTATTTTATAATTTTATCCGAATGTTTGAATAAAAAAGACTTTTAAGTGGATTTTTAGAAAACTGTTGGTTGTTTAACACATGTTAAATAATTATCAATGGTTTTTTTTTAACTTAAGCTAGATAGTTACGATTAACCATGTCCTGAAGCACGGTTCATAAATGTTGTGTCAGCAGATAAATGCACCCTTGTGTGTTTTGGGCATTTTAAAAAATAAACGCCAAGGCAAATTCATGTTGAGCTTCATTTAAAGACTAAAATATTTTTGATAGACGAGGCACTCGACTATTATGATCCTTCTTGTCTTTCACTAAATTACTATTTACGTTATTTATTCTGCCAAATATAGCTGCTTACCTGTTCAATGTGCCCCAACCATGTCAAAAATAGTAATAATCATTTAGTTAGATCACACAATTAATAATTTTAAATTAATTAGAATGATTCAGCCGCTCTGTCAAATATGGTTTTACCGATAAGAACTATAAGTAGGGCTAGACGGGGCAAGATCTTCTCCAATCAGTTGCAAACTGTGTGAGATGGCGAGCGGTGTCCCAGAAATCCACTTCTACGAGCACGGGCTCAACATCCGCCGAGTGATCGAGCAGTCCAATTTGCAGGATCTGGACCAGGCCCTCAACATCTGCGATCTGTCCAGTCTGGAGCAAAAATTCAGCCTCTGGCAGAAACTGCTGCCCAGGATTAAGCCACACTACGCCGTCAAGTGCAACGACGATCCTGTGGTGGTCAAATTTCTGGCGGATCTTGGTACTGGATTCGACTGCGCCTCCAAAAACGAACTTAGGCTGGTGAGAATGTGTGAACGTTTGAACAAAAAGAGATATTTTCACTGCAATTAACCCTGGTTATTTGTTTAATTGATTAATTGATTTTACAATCAAGAAAATAAAAATATATCTTATTTCGATGTATTAATTTGTTTTTTTTTTTAACGATGTTGCTTTTGTAGGTTCTTGGCTTAGGCGTTTCACCTGAGCGTATTATCTTTGCACATCCTTGTCGTCCAGTCAGCCACTTGGAGTACGCCAAGGAGCAGATGGTGGTCAATGGCACGGTGGACAATGAGTACGAGGTTTACAAGCTCCATAAGCACTATCCAAACTCCAAGTAAGTCCCACCCAATATAAGCTTTGGTAGTACGATGATGTGTTTCTCGATTTTAGTCTAATTGTAAGATTCAAAAGCGAGGCCAAGGAGGCACTGCATTTTTTGGGCGAAAAGTTTGGATGCAATGTGAAGGCGGATGCCGCTGCCCTACTGCTCCTGGCCAAGGCCTTGGATCTGAAGGTTACTGGCACTAGTTTCCATGTAGGTTCCGGATGCAGCGAGGTGGAGGCCTACGACCGGGCCATCGAAAAAGCCGAGAACATCTTCAAGTTCGGCGAGCTTATTGGTCATGACATGGACTTATTGGACATTGGCGGTGGCTTTCCCGGCACCGATGATGCACTGTTCGAGAATGTGAGTTGCAAGATGTTGGCTTTTAAGGAATTTATTCAAATATTTGTATATTTTTATAGATTGCTGACGCTGTAAACACCTCGCTGCAGCTCCGTTTCCCCGATGAGCGGGTCCAAATAATTGCCGAACCAGGACGTTTCTTTGTGGAGGCTGCTTACACTTTGATCTGTAAGATCCATGCCAAGCGGGAGGTCCGAAATAAAGCTGGGAAGTTGGACACATTAATGTATTTCATAAATGACGGCATCTACGGGTTCCTGGCCTGCACTTTCTACACCTCCGTAGTTGTGACTCCTGAAGTTTTCCTGGTAAGAATTAGCATCGATACCCAGTATTTTGCAATTTTTCAAGCAGTATTGAAATCATTTATCCAGGTTGGAGCCAATACCATGCCAAAGTTCAAGTCTGTGATTTGGGGACCCAGTTGCGATGCCCAGGATAGGGTGAGCTTGTTATTTGATTGTAGTTGCGATGAACATCAGTTAATGTTTCCCTTTAGATTTCGGAGGAGCAGCACTTGCCCAACATGAATCGAGGTGATCTCATAGTGTTTCGCAACATGGGTGCCTACGCAAAGACCATGGCCAAGCCCTTCAATGGATTTGAAGTTCCGGTAACACTGTTTTTTCGGGCCAAATAGTAATAAAAGACAAACTTGCTTGCATTTGTAACCAACATGGATTCTTTATTACTTAGATTCTCAGAGTGTTTCCCGTTTGGGAAACTGTTGCTCACATGGAGAGCATTATGCAGGCCCAGCTTTCGATGGGTTTTCTTGTTAGCAATATTTTGAAAAGAACAGCTCTAGCCAAAGGAAACTGACCCGAATCGGTGGTGTGGCGTATTCTTTTGAAAATATTTCCGTTACCGGTACCGGTTCTGCAACCGCAACCGCTCAAGTTGCACCACCGCCCACCAGTGGGCGGCTACTGACCCAAGCCACCGGTCGGCTGGGCGGTGGGTACGAGAGGCGGGATCGGGGGCGGGGGCGGCCGGATTTGGGTGTCTGTCTGTGTTAATTGCTAATCGAATTACAACTTAGTTTGCATAGACATAATTGAAAAGGTACGTATGTATGTGTGTATAAAAGTATATGTATAAAAAATTTCAAAAATTCCACTCTGCATATATGGTACATACATTTGCATAATTCACTTCCTGCATAAATATCAAACTTGTTCAGATGCCTCAAAAATGTATGTAAATTCTATAAAATGTCACTATCTTAGCAATGTAGAGCCATCCGAGTGTTTTACTACTGGGAGCTCTTGATATGTCACGATATAATAACAATATAACGATATGCATTCTCGATTTTAGTGAGGGTTTCTCATTGGGTTCTGGATATGGGTTTTGGGATTTTGGTAATTTGGTAATTTTAATAATTTGGTATTTTGGGATTGGGAGTACTTGCCCCTTGTTAATGGCAAATAAAGAGTACAAACTACTTATTCCATAATCAGTTCTTGGTGATTGATGCAAATGATTTTCCTTATTTTCTCTTGTGTTTTTTTCCCTCAGTTTCGCCTTGCCTCTGGCACCCAAAGTGGAGCCATACTTAGAGTTCATACATAGACTCGAAGAATTTCGACTTGGCTAGATTGCTCAGTTGGGTTAATTGGGTGGTTGGTTGGATGTTTGGTTGGTTGGTTGGGTGCAGAAGGTAGGACTGGAAACAGGTGAGGGGGCTACGAAAAGCGTTAGTAATGATTGTATCTCACAACACCGACGACAAGACGACGATAGACGATAGACTACACATAATAAATGGGTATCCGTAGGGATCCTTATCCTGCACTCAATACAGATTGTGCAGATTAACGCGTGTAACAACGAAATCCCTGGCTTAAACGTAACAATATTCTGATATGTTTGAGTTTCGCTTTGGTTTACCACAGCAGGTGCACTGGTACCTAAATCAAGCCTTACATCTAAGCTATGTCCGTTAACAATTAAATTGAATTGAATCCTCATGCCGTGCCGACCCATCTCAATCAGCATTCCCCTGTGAGTCGAGCTACTGTGCAAGTCGAGCTACTTGCTACAGGGTCGCTACTGGGATTGGAGTTGAGTGGAGTTGAGTGGAGTGGATTGGATGGTGGTGTTGCCGTTGCAGGTGCGTCAATTCAACAAGGTGGATTGGGAGACATATTCTTGCTGCGCTGCCGGCTGGCTGGCTGGTTGGCTGGCTGGCTGGCTGGCGTGCTTTCTGAGTCTAATTATTGGCAGAGTTGCATAATTCACGGATTCTCTATAATCTATAAGAAAACATACAATACAACAACACAGAAATGGTTTGTAGACGTACAAAAGGGTCTGTGACTGGACTGTGGGTCTGGTCTTCGTTTTTGGGGGACATTATCAAACCGAATCAAACTGGGGGGACCGCACTATTTTCTATCACTGATCTGGGCGGGGGGAGTGCAACTGAAACTGAAACTGAAGCTGAAACTGAAACTGACCCGCATAGAACATCGCGTCTAGCTGGACAGATGCGGCTTTAGACGCTAGTCAGAAAGGCCACGCTACACACGGCAATCTGGGCCAGGATGTTCACTTGCAGGATCCGCATCAGACCGCCGCTGGTGGGCGAGGGACTCACATTGAGGCCGGCGCAGTGCATCTTCTCGGTGGGCATGGCCTGCACAAAGTACTCGCGGTTGTCCAGCGACATGTGGCACAGCGGCTTCTTCTTCTGCGACATTTCGTCGTCCTTGTTCTTCAGGTCCTCGAGCAGCTTGGGGAACCAGGTCAGCTCGCAGGAACAGTTCAACGGGTTATCTGCATTGGGAGTTTCGATTGCATGTATTGTATTGATTTTGTGTGGTCTTAAAATGTTATGACTTGCCTGTGATATCGATGATGCGCAGGGTGTCGATGACCGGCTCCATTATGTCCTGCGGAATGCGCTGCAACTTGTTGTTCTGCAGGTTCAACGTCTCCAGCGAGTTGAGATTCTCGAACAGAAGGCTGGGAAGAACCTTGATACTAAACAGAGTGAAATATAATTATTATGAGTAAATAGTAAAATTTTTATCTTGAAATCGGACAGATTTAAGAGAGCATATGATACAAAAATCCTTAGGAAAAGTTCTTCCATCAAAGACTGCATATTTAAAAAATAGATGCCTAGAAATCGAACTTAATTGTATCGTTTAACGATGGAAAATTAACTAAGCCAACAAGCTAATAAAATCTAAAATTAGCCGTTAACTCTATTTATTTTTTCAGCAAAGTTTAAGCTATTTCCAGGCTATCGAAAACCGAAATCGTTTAGGCAGAACTAGAGATAAATATGTAATGGTCTTTAAATAAGGCGAAAATGTTCATTACACTTAAAAAAAAAAGTCCACAGGCACCGTTAAATGAAGGTTTTGTTTCTGGAGGATTTTGTGGGATTAATTTCTTTTAAATATTCCTGTTTGTAGTTATAAAAAAGGTCCGCCAACTTATCTCTTTTTCAAAAAAAAGTTAGGACATGTTAAATCAACGCAAAAATCTTACTCATTTTTCTGCAGATTAATGAATGTGAGGGAATCTCCGAATCCAGTGAAGGCATCTTCGGCCAAAACATTGATATTATTATTACGCAGATCCAAGTGACGAAGGCGATGCAAGGGACGCAGTGCCTCGCTGGGAATAGTATGGACTTGGTTGTCGCCCAGCCGCAGATATTGCAGGTTCTCTGTTGAGTCAGATTGTAAATTAAATGAATAACAGAGAAATTGAAGGAGAAACGCACCCTCCAGGCCCTTGAAGGCATCCTTGTCAATCGCACTGATCTTATTGCCCTCCAGCTCCAGGGAGTTCAGCTGGGTGAGGTGGGAAAAGACATTGCCAGGCACGGTGGTGATCATGTTGTGGGCCAATATCAACGAGTCCAAGCTCTGCATGCCTGCCAAAAATCAAAACATTTCATCGATTGGCATCTCTTTGGGTCACAACAATAGTCACCTTCAAAGTCGCCTTCACTGATGGTGCGTATCTTGTTCTCCTGGATCTCCAGCTTCTTCAGAGTGGACAGTATGGAAAGCGCTTTCTGTGGGACACTGCTCAGATCGTTGCCACCCAGATTTAGACGCTTTAAATGACTGAAACAAAAGGTGTTTTCGTTAGAAACAAGAGCTGTCAATCGAGGGACTTTCTGGCATACTCCTCAAGTCCCCGGAAAGCCTCGGGATCGATCTGTGTGATCTTGTTCTCGTAGAGCGTCAGTATCTCCAGCGTTTCCAGACCCTCGAATGCATTGTTGTGGACCACGGTGATTTTGTTGTGGTTCAGATTGAGAATCAACAGGTGGAACAGATTCTTCAGCGCCTGCGAGGGCACCGTCTTCATTTGGTTAAGGGACACATCCAGCTGGGTGAGTCCCGTACCTGCGGTAAATAAGGGAAGATGTGTGTGACAACCAAACAAACAAACTCAAACTGGCGTCCATCTCGTTACCCAGCGAACTGAGGGCGTTCTCCTCGATGGCCGCCAAACTGCTGTTGTGAATGGTCAGGTGGCGAATGTCCAGGGCCAGAAAGACGAAGCCCTGCAGCTTGGGCAGATTGTTGTGGCGCAGCTTCAGGTAGAAGATGATCGGACTCTTGCCCTTCAGAGTGCCCATCGATTTGGTGATGTGCGCCAGATCGGTGGTCTCGCACAGGATGTCCAGCCCGTTCTTCTTCACCGTGCAGATGCAGGGCGCGATCTCGCTCTGCTCCGGGCACACCTGTGACGGCGGTGGCCCCTGTCCCACCACCTGACCCATCATCGTCATCATCGTCATCATCAGCACCTGCAGCAGCAACACCAATGACGCCGTCTGTCCCCATTCCAGCTGAAGTCTCGCCATGCTGAACACCTTGCTGCTGGTGGTTTTGCGATTCCTTTTTTGGACTTTGTGGAGTGGATTGGAGTAGGGTGGAGTGGTGTGGTATATCCTATGAAGGCGCGATATTCGCAATGAGTGTAACTCGTGGCTGGCTGCGATTTGTGATGCTGATGAATGCTATCTACAATGGCTATTGCCGTAGCCCTGTGTGCGAAATGAGAAGAGGTTAGGGGGGATTTCAATTGGGCGCACAATGCGCGATTTTATTTGGGTTGTGTGTGCCAGCCCGCGGATTAAATATAAATTGCCCGCAATTGAGCTGTCCGTCCGTATACTGTTGCTAGTGTTGCTACTACTACTGCTACTACTGTTGCTCCTCTCCAATCTGCGGCACTCTCACCTAAATGGTTTGTCCGTCCGCGGCTAGTGAGTGCCAAATGAAACATGCCTCCAGTGCCTTCGAGATGCAACAAATCCCAGCCAGCTTCTCTCTCTCTCTCTCTCTTTTGGTTTTAGTTTTTGTGGGGCAGCTGGCAGTTGGCAGCTGGAGTCGCTCTCTTTTTTGGGGTGGCTATGGGGCGTATGCGTAATGGCTGTGTGCCAACTGGGTTAGTGTGTGTGTATAACGATGTAACGGAAAATCGATACGGCGACGTCGAGAGGTTGTTGAATGGGGCCCCCGTTTGTTTGTATTTGTGGTTGTTGCTTCGCTTCTAACTAATTCAACAGTCCTCGAACGCTCCGTTGCTCCGTTGCTCCTTTTTGTTCTTTTGAAACGCTGCCCAGTATCGATATGCTGGCTGGCACTTGGCTTTCCCCAGTGCTTAACCACTGAATTCCGTTACATCCACAGAAAAAAGGCGAGCCAGGATCCGTCTAGTGGCTACTATCGCTTTGCCAGGCTCTTCTTGGCCCTCTGGTATATCAATCCCGTTGCATTCTCTGCGGAATCCCACTGGCAAGCCCCCCGAATCCTGAATCCCAGAATCGGAAAATATTGAAAACGTTTCGAAGCGTCAATTGATGGAAAATGAAGCACGTTTGGTTGGCAAAACCGACGGTTGCGGACTGAGAGCGCTCGGCGTGAAATTAAATATAAAACCTCAGTTGACTCTCGGGGTGGCTCAAGCTTTTCGAAGCTCTGCAAAAGCTGCAGCAAACGCTCAAAACAATCTTTTAGTTATCAAACGTTAGGCTCAGTCAAAGTTTAAAATACGAATTTCTAGACGAGCAAAGATGCATTTGTAATAAAAAGGTTACGCTGATAAGGGGTAATCATTGATTAAACATCTAGAACCGTTATTCTAATGACCTACTTTTTAATGCAAATTTATTAATCATGGTCAACACATAAAAACTAGAAGAAAACAATTCACGCAGAAGGCGAATAAATTCAGCAGAAGCGCCTTTTTCTCAAAAACAAAACTACATGCGTTTATAAAGAGACAGAACAGTTACAAGAAGTGGCTAAAATCCCGACAAATTCTGGATACCAATTCGATGTTATCAAAGATTGGTTTTTATTAAGGAGCGCGAAATGGCACTGTTACTTTTATGAAATAACGGATCAAAACAAAGCGGACACCAGGCTGACACAGGTGAACTGTATTGGGTTCTCGGAAGCGATGTTGGTTCTTAGATCTTTTACGGTTTGGGCTTTAATTCGCACTTCACATTTTCTATGTCTTGTCCTCGCAATTTTGTTCCTTATGCTCGCTAGCAATGACTGCCCACTTTGCATTTGGTTTCTTAAAAAAAATGAGTTTTAATGAATTTATTTACTTGTTCTGTAACTATTTAAGAAATCTACAAATAAATTGTGGCGGATACATAATTTTATGAATAATAATTTTATGATTTTTAATACCTTATTTTGCACTTGTGTTGGGATGCTTAAACCACAAAACCACCTTCTTCAGTGGCTACAAAAATCTTTTCCACCCAAGGTTAAACCAAATGTTCATTTAAAAGTAACGGCTATATGGTTCGTTCCTCTATTGGAATTTTTAGATACTACGCTGCCTTCTGGACCGCGTAGCGACACCTGGCGGAAGCGTTCTTAAACATTAAATTGCTGCCTAGTTAACTGCTTACTAAACTGCTTGAATTCCTGCTGTTATGACAACTGTTGTGCCTGCTGTTATGACTGATGTTATGATTGCTGTTCTGACTGTTGTTATGACTGGTATTATGACGGCTGTTATGACTGCTGTTATGGCTGCTGTTATGGCTGATGTTTATATCTCTGCTATTATCGCTTCTGTTATCTTTTTGAAACGACTGCTTCATAAACTGCTTGCTTATAGTTCAGAAGACCAACGTGCTTTTTTCAAAACTAATTTATTGAAGTTGCAGAAGTTAAAGAAGAAAATAAAAGAAAATATTTATTTATTTATTTAGGAAAATGTAGTTGGTAGCTTTAAATATTTTGTATTAATTACAATTATTTTCAAAATCTGTTTTCAAGAATAAATGTAGTAAGCACCAACTATATATTACAATTTTAAAAACATCAGCAATCTAAAGTGCCACAATCTTCTATACAGTCAGCAATTTCATGTTCTTGTACCATGTGAATGGGTCATGCTATTGAACCCAACTTTCACTGCGTCAGCTGACTGCTCCAGCAACATATCCTTTGATGACAATCCTGATCGGGTTACAGCAGCACGTGGGCGTAATTTTCTCGCAATTAGGATGCGATTATCATAATATGAACGAGCGTCGTCGAAAGGGTAATTGAAGGCGAACCAGCTCAACCCATTCCCCATAGCAGTTTGGGATCCTTTTCGCCTGCCACACGGGCACGTGCCTGCAAGACGCCTTCAGCCAAGGTACAAAGTTTCAATTTGATATTCCTTTGGCCAGACGAGCATCTTGGGGTTGTTTCAGGCCAAGTCCCTGGATTAAGTTCCAGGCGGCCCAAGACCGATTGCGATTCTGCGGCCCTGTGGCTTATGACACCGACAAGACAAGGTTGAGCGGGTGGCATCCGCATCCGCATCCGCATTAGTATCAGCATCAGCATAAGCATAAGGTCGGACTTTGAATTTGACAAAGTGCAAAATCCTTTACACTTTGAAGACTGATTGACTTCTTATCCTTGAATGGATTTGAATGGAAATTGTGTTTCACTTGCCTGCTCGGCTAATGGTGGGGTGGAGTGTGCGAGCTGTGCGAGTGTGAGTCCTATATAAACAAACGGAAGATAATCAAGATGTAAAACACAATCCAGAGGGGGGAACGGCGACGGCTGTAATTCAAAACCAAACAAAACCGTTGAAGAATCAAAAGGCAAAGCGATGGCAAATTATAGCGTTACAGTTGCAGTTGCCTCACAAAAATCGGACGATGGTGGGGTATGAGTATGGGCATGGGCATGGGCATGGGGTGGCGTTGGGAAAGCGTCGCTGAAAAATTGTAAAGCGGAATTTCGCAATTTCACTTTGTACTTGGAAAACTGTTATTAACTTAATGAAGGAGTGTTGTGCGCCACATTTACCTGACACGTGATTCGGAGTGAACCGGAAGCCAAGGGTCCCACAAAGGAGCTGCTGCTCTTAACGTTTCCTTATTTACACTTTTTTTTCGGTATTTTCCTGAATTGTAAGCGCGTTAAGTACTCCACTGCGAAAGCGTATTTAATGTGCCGTAAATGGTGTCAACTTGAGATATTACTACCTTACCATTCATTCTCATAATTGACTGAACGCCAATCGGGCGATATTAAAGAACAATTTCGACTCAAACAATTATGCAACGTATTTTATTTAAAAAATAATTTTAAATAGTTTTAATTTATTTCAATAACATAAACACTCAATTTGGTATCATGTTACTTAACCATAAGTTATTTCAAAAGTAAGTTATTTCAAAAATATTTTGTGACTTGTTTATTTGGAATATTTTTGTATTCATCATCCATTTTTCTCACTCAATCCAATGGCTGCAAATCAATAAATGATTACGTAGTTACTTTGTCATTAAATGGCGTAATTCTACTTACACCAGAAATAAGCATTCATTAATACTTTAAGTAGAAACCATTAATGTTAATAAATATTAGCAGCTGTTCTGATGCACATATACGTAGATGCCTAATTGGGTTATACGAGTATCTATTTGGCAAATTTCGAACTAGCTTCCTGCAGATTTAACAGCAGCTAACAAACCGAAAACGTCGGCAGCTGTAATTAAAACAAAGAGTGCGATGGCACACAGAGTCCCCCTCTCATCTCCTCCGCAACCGACACATATGTGGCGGAGGGGCGTTGGATACCCACTATACCTATACTATATAGCCATGTAACCGTATCTTCGCATTGGCGCTCAGATGAAGCTCATCTGGCAAAGTGGCAGGTTAAGTAAACAGTTTCATTGTGCGAATTCAATTAAAATTTATTCAAAATACGTCAACGGCAGCTACTCAAAGCTGCTACTTCTGCCGCGTTTTGCTGCTGCTGCGCTGTTGTGCTGTTGTGCTGCTGCAACAAAGTGTCAAAGTATCTGTGAGATACATTCTATGTATCGCTCTCTCCTTGTCTCCCTCACCCCCGTGCGGCTGCCATTGGCAAAGGGGGCGTGGCAAGGCCCCGTACACGCCCCAGTTAAAGAGGAAGCGAGACAACCATATGGCGGCGTGCCGAAGTAAATGTATATAATACGCTTACAAAGTATCTGTGTGAGCAGCGGCTGGGGATGTTTGAGTGTGTGTGTGTGTGGTGTGCCACTTGTTTTGTTGCCTTTCCCCACAGCTGCGACTGCTGTCTTGGCAAGTGGTGTAAATGGCAATTTGTCGGGCGTCGACGGTCGACGGTCGCCCCCGCACACGGTAGCTGTTGCCGTAGATACAGCGTCGCGCTGACAGCCGCTCTTTTCCGCTGGCATTGGCATTCGGCTTTTGGCCTGGCCCGCTCATTTCTGCCATATCATCGTCGTCATCATCGCCACGATCATCGTTCTACCCTACCTCTAACCTCGCCCCCCGCCTCATCGCCGCACTCAAAAAGTATCTTAGTATCCCTTTGTGCGAGGAAACCACTGGTGCCAACACCACCTACCCACTTGGAACTCAAGCCCATCATCCACCCAATGAAATAAAATTTTTTTAATGTTGCCTTTGTTAAATAATTCCTAACACTTAATAAATTTAGATTTACATTTAGTAATTCTTTTAAGCTGACATTTTATGTATCCAATATTATCTAGAGCTAATAAATATGTTAAAACTATAAAAAACAAAATTATTTATTTATCGTTCAATTGTATTCATTTTAGTTTCAACACTTGGAAATATTTTTGTAAGAATATTTGTTTAAATATTTATTTCAGTAAGTATATTAAACCTGAATATAAACCCCTTTATATATGCACGTAATCATTTATTTCGATAGTTTCATTTTTAGTTTGATGGGGTATAACTTTTTTTGTAGTTTACCTAATGAAACTTAATATAATAAATAAAGTTTAAAACAAATATGTGCGTATCCAAAATTTTAAAAGCATTAAATGTAAAACTATAGCTTTTAAACGGAATTTGACAAAATTCTCTTCAATCGACCCATCGATTTTTTTGGTGTTGTTGGACTCCCAGATTAAAAAATTACATTCACCTAAAGATAAGCCTTGAAGTTTATTTTGTTTAAATCTTAAATTTAAATTTGTATATTTTAAAAACTTATTTTCAATACATTGAAAGGTTTCTAGTTTTACAATGGAAACGGGTTAGATAACACAAAATTTGTTCTAAATTTCCCTCTACTTCGAAAAACAAACGGAAACTATTGGAGCGTGTTTAAAGCTCTCTTCAAAAAAGGCATCCTTCCGATATGATTTGGCCGACCCAAAGGACATTGCCTGTGACAAGACCAACAATGGCGAGTCCAGCCCTCTCTATGACATTGATGGGCATTAACGATGATGCTGATGCTGATGGTGATCATCATCATCATCGCCGGGAATGTGGCAGGGAATGACGATGAAGTAACAAGGAGGAACGACATTTCCAGCTAACGAATTCAATTGAGTTGAATTTTTCATTTAAGGTTTATTTAACTTTTTTATTCCATTTC